GATCATGTAATCAAAATTCTGATGCTTGGCAACTGGCGTGTATTTATGACGGTTGTAGTGTCCCTGGGTCACGTGATCCCCTTCTGTGACCACCTGACAAGCAAAGTCAATGGGGAAGCCAGATTTACTTAACAACAGTTTGACTAATTTATCAGCCACAGTGCTTCACTTAACAACTGTAGCAAGAAATGTCGTAAAACTGGCAAACTCACTTAACAAATGCTTCACTTAGCAACAAATTTTGGGCTCACTTGTGGTCATAAGTCAAGGACTATCTGTATATATCATGGGGTTGGGTGATTTTTTTAAAAAAAAAAAGTAAATTGCTTTGAGTTCCTGAAGGAAATGTAGAATTAAATGCTTGGGATAGTAATAATAATAATAATAATAATAATAATAATAATAATAATAATAATAATAATAATAGAAGAGAAAGAACTGGAGAAGATAACAAAATACAAAGACCTACAAATAGAAATAGAAAGACTGTGGCAAAAGCAAGCAAGGGTAGTACCAATAGTCATAGGCTCCTTGGGTGCAATCCCAAAACAACTGGAGCACCACTTGAACACCATTGGCATTGACAAATTCGCTATTAGTCAATTGCAAAAGGCGGCCTATTAGGAACTGCTTCCATCCTGCGACGATATCTGTAATACCATCAAACATCCACATCTGCCTATCCCAGGTCCTGGGTAAGGACTCGATAGGTAGACAAAATGCCAAATCCAGTCTGAACATCTGGCTGACTGTGTGAGATTGATAATAATAATTTAAAAAAGTTGGAAGGGACCATGGAGGTAATCTAGTCCAGCAATTCCAGTCATTAGGTACACAGCTGGAATAGTGGACTGGACTCAAGCAGAACTAAAAGCAATGGATAGGCAGACCAGAAAAATAATGACAATGAATCATGCCCTTCATCCACACAGTGACATTGATAGACTTTATCTACCAAGGCAAATAGGTGGGCGTGGAATGCTACAAGTACATCAGATGGTTGAAGAAGAAAAAATGACCAAACTGGCCTACAAGAAAGACCAAATGAAGAACAGAATAGAGGCATGGGAAGACAAAGCACTACATGGCCAATACGTGAAAAAAAATAGCTGGGAAAGCAGATAATAATAAGACCTGGCAATGGCTAAGAGCAGGAAAATTGAAGAAAGAGACCGAGGGACTAATTCTGGCTGCACAAGACCAAGCCTTAAGGACAAATGCATACAAAGTCAAAATTGAGAAGACAGCAAAAGACAGTAAGTGCCGCCTATTCAAAGAAGCTGAAGAAACAGTGGACCACTTGGTAAGCTGTTGCAAGAAGATTGCACAGACTGATTACAAGCAGCGGCATGACAAAGTAGCAACAATGGTGCATTGGAAGATCTGCAAAAAATAGCATTTGCCTGTAAGCAAAAACTGGTGGGATCATAAAATAGAGAAAGTCATAGAAAATGATAAAATTAAACTGCTCTGGGACTTCAGAATTCAAACAGACAAGCACCTGCAACCTAACACCCCAGACTTAACAATTGTCGATAAGAAAGACAAAAAAGTCTGGATAGTGGACGTGGCAGTGCCTGGAGACAGCAGAATAGAAGAGAAAGAACTGGAGAAGATAACAAAATACAAAGACCTACAAATAGAAATAGAAAGACTGTGGCAAAAGCAAGCAAGGGTAGTACCAATAGTAATAGGCTCCTTGGGTGCAATCCCAAAACAACTGGAGCACCACTTGAACACCATTGGCATTGACAAATTAATAGCCAATTTGCTATTAGTCAATTGCAAAAGGCAGCCTTACTATGAACTGCTTCCATCCTGCGACGATATCTGTAATACCATCAAACATCCCCATCTGCCTATCCCAGGTCGTGGGTAAGGACTCGATAGGTAGACAAAATGCCAAATCCAGTCTGAACATCTGGCTGACTGCGATGATCCAAAATAATAATAATTAAAAAAAGTTGGAAGGGACCATGGAGGTAATCTAGTCTAACCCCCTGCTCAGGCAGGAAACCCTATACCATTACAGACAAATGGCTGTCTAGTCTCTTCTTAAAAACTTCCAGTGTTGGAGCATTCACTGCTTCTGGAGGCAGGTTGTTCCACTGGTTAATTGTTCTAACTGTCAGGAAGTTTCTCCTTAGTTCTAAGTTGCTTCTCTCCTTGATTAGTTTCCATCCGTCGCTTCTTGTCCTGCCATCAGGCGCTTTGGAGAATAGCTTGACTCCCTCTTCTTTGTGGCAGCCCCTGAGATATTGGAACACTGCTATCACTTCCCCCCTCGTCCTTCTCTTCATTAAATTAGACATACCCAATTCCAGCAACTGTTCCTTATATGCTTTAGCCTCCAGTCCCCTAATCATCTTTGTTGATCTTCTCTGTACTCTTTTTAAAAGAGTCTCAATATTTTTTTTACATCGTGGTGACCAAAACTGGATGCAGTTTTGTTGGTAAGTAATATATTATTACCTAATATGGACAATACAGTTCATTGGATCTCCAGTGGAGCCATCCAGCAGTTTAAGATTTTTTTAAAAGCTCTGTTTCAAGTCACAAGTAATAACTCTTGGTTTTCTCTTCATTTTTCTCTCTTCCTTGCTCCTGTTTAACTTGTTCTTTCATCTAGTTTTACTACTGCTTCTAAATTTTAACTCTACCAGTAGGCTGATATTTAGCAACAAAGCTAAAAATATATTTGAATTAGATACCAGCTTTTAGAATAGTTCAGGAGAAGCATTTATATTACTCCTTCTGTGCCTTTATTGAAGAAGCTGTCTGTTACACAAATAGTTCTTAACAACCTCCCTCAGACTGGTTGCTAATTACAGCTATGTTTCCACAGCCAAGAGTAATTTAACCCTATAGTATCAGTTTTCTCTATTTTATATACCTGTATAGCTATAACACAGTGTTTGTGTCTTCCTTAAACTGTTATGAAACACATGGCTAGTTACAATTATAATATGACTATAATTTTTATTTGTGCAGCATTCAATGTATAGTGTTCAGGAAAGCAGCATCAAAATGAGACTGTGTTTTGCAGCATTTCTTGTACGTCTCCTTCCCCCAGGGAACCAACAATAGCACCTGGATTCCTGAGGATGAAGTAGTTTGTTTGGCTTTCTGAACTGTAATTGTTGTGCCAATGTTGCATTGTTAGTGTGCTTTTATTTTTCTTACTTTGAAGTAATAAATATGCCTGGGAAGCTTTCATCTCATATATTTGGAGATTCAGGGATTGTGTGTTTCCTATTGATTCTTGGTTGATCAGTAGTATGTTTTCTACTTTATAACAGTGTTTGAATTGTGATATTTCTGAACTCAGGTGCTTACAGAGCTATAAAGAAAACAGTATTTGCATCAAGTTGGAAAGAGCTGTTTAGAGTAATGCTAGTAATAGTGTTAAATGATACGTTATGAATAAATGTTAATTCTGGGAAATCTATTCGTCTCAGCAATCTTTTCCCAGTTTAGGGCAATTCTGAATTATTTTTAGAGCTGGATTTTGTACCAAGAATATTTAAATAATTCTGCAAAATAAAACAGAAGGAAGTATGACAGGAAGTAGTAATGTTCTATGCTACAGCAAGAATTGCTTTTGTAACTGTGTTTTGGCATTAGCGCCACCTGGGTATAGCTAACTGAAGTACTGACTAACAACAGTGTGTGTGTAAAACATACAGCATGTATGTGTGTGTGTGTGTGTGTGTGTGTGTTTGAGAGTGGGCATTAGAATTTCATTTCTTAATGTGTGCCAGTGTGTTAATAGAAATAAGTGACAATAAAGATTATTTTATCTTTAACTTGCTCAGACTTCACTTGTAGGAAAGAATGTACTTCAATGAAGTGACATACTAGAAGAAGGTTTTTGAGATTTTACATCAATAGACTCTTATCTAAGACATCTGTGATATTTGGTTCTGGTCAGACTTCATTTGCAGGAAAGATACACTGACAATACCTTAAAAGACGATTATACTGTTATCAAACCAGCTTATAGGTGAAGGTAAACAGGGTTAATTCTGGTGAGTATATTGAAGTAGGGGTACTTAGGTATTCCAGAAAAGTATCCTGGAAGAATGCAGTCACTAAGAATCAAACTCATCTTAATGGCAACTTGATCTTTATATTAAGAAAAGAGAATTGTTGGTCAACGCTGGATGCATTTCCAGCAATGTACCTCCTTCATATAGCTTGACAGACTTCAGTAGTTCTAGTTGTAAGTAAATTTACATGAACTCTCTCTCAATTTTCCTACTTCTGCTAATCAACAAAAATCTAGTAATATTTCAAGATGAAAAACGGAAATGAAAATAAATTTGTTATAATATTAAGCAGCAAACACCTTTAAGCATCCAAAATAACTTAATTTCTACTTTTCTCTTAAGTATGAAGCAGTCCCTCCTTCAGATCTCCATAGGGAATGAAATCCAAACCAAAGTCTCTAGAGCATGGATGTCCAAGTTGTTGGCTTACTTTGGTCACATTGAGTGAAGAGGAATTGTCCTGGGCCACATTTACATATATAATATAGTTATTGTATATAAATCACACAATAATGTTAAACAGTTACAATTTAATGGGCTGCCTTACTAGCTGTCTGGGGCCGCATGTGACCATGGGCTGCGCACACATGGTCTAGAGCAGGGGTAGGCAACCTTGGCTCTTTTACGACTCGTGGACTTCAACTCCCAGAATTCCTGAGCCAGCATGGCAGGCTCAGGAATTCTAGGAGTTGAAGCCCACGAGTCATAAAAGAGCCAAGGTTGCCTACCCCTGCTTTAGAGGATCAACTCCATAAGGGTTGTATTATCTGTTCTCTTGTATACCTTATTGGGAAATTATAACCATTAAATTTAACATGCAATAAGATAGTGAGGAATATGGTGTCCAGAAACAAGTTTCTAGCTCTCTTGGAAGAAAATGAAAGGGCTATTTGTTGAATAATGTCAGCAACAGGAGCAGGGACTAAAATGTATCTGCAATTGTCTTTACAGCGTGTCTTCAATGACCTCAGTGGCTCAGTGTCCCTTTCCTGGATTGGAGATAGCACTGGAGTAAGTAATACTTGGTTGAGCAGATATTTTAAGTATTCAGAAAAAGCAAAAGTATAATATATGAAATAATTCCATGCCGTGACTTGGTTTTGTACTTTCAAATAAAGATGCTTTTGCCTTAGCCTTCCCAAATAAAAAAAGAATTATAGTATTTTTGCCTGGTAGATGGTAAGAAGTTATTCTCTACAGCTGCAAGCTATTCTGGTTCTTCTTTTAAATATTGTCATCTTACTCATGAACAAAGAACTCTTGTGGGTGTTTTGTTGTGTAAATGAAGTGACTCACAGGTTTGGTAAGTAACATCTATCTACTCATTCAGGGTTGCAGTGATAATTGCGTCAGTGATGAAGCCTTGTTGATGTGAAGAAAAAAACACACATTTCTTAATATCGTACACAGAGCTGTTGCTTGTTCATCTCATGCTGAAAGAGAATGGTGCAATTTTAGAGCATTTTTTTATATGTATAATTTTGAGCCAATTCTTAGACACAATTAAGATTATCCATTGTACAGCGTAGGGCAGGTGACAGTAACAAAACGGAATGGGACAGCTCACCATAACCAACTCGCCCCGGCCAATTCACCATGACCAACTCACAGTGGGACAACTTGCTGCAGGACAATTTAACAATTCAATTTAGTTATTTAAAATAAATAAAAAAATATTTTAATTTTTGCCATTCACATTTCATTCTATCCCTCCTTTTGCATCCTTTCTTTAATCATTCTATTTCACCATTTCTTTGATATTAATGTAACTCTTGCTCTGCAGCAAGTTGCCCCATGGTGAGTTGGCCAAGGTGAATTGCCCCATGACGAGTTGGCCACTGCAAGTTGGCTACGGTGAGTTGGCTGTAGCAAGTTGGCCATGGGGAGTTGTTGTAGACCCGTAGCAGAAGGGGCCATATAAATTGTCAGCTGACTTCATGGATAGTTGGATTTAATCAAGCATATTGGGAGAGGAATTAGGAGAAATCATATATTTTTTCCAGTTCTTCCTTTTAAACCAGGAAGAGACGTGCCCGGCAGCAGATGATATAGTTTTGCCAACTTCCTTTTCTCTCTTTCAAAAATAATGGAATCTTAAATTGAGTTATTTCTGTCTGCTTCTCATACTCCTTTATTTAAAATACTAATAGTATCAGTAACTTGGCCAATTTTCATCTCAAAATAAGGTGAGTAGAGTCAAACCTGATTAATATTTAGATAAGAAACCCCCCCTCCTCCTCCCCCAGCCAATAATTCTGGAAGAATACAGTGGCAAGTCATCTTTGTGCCAGTGAAATGTATGGCCATGGCCATATAGTCACTGGGAGCCGAACACAGCCCATTGGAATTGGATGACTAATAAATAAATAAACAAATACTACTCTGATGGAATCTTTCTCTTCACTTTCAATAAGTTTAATGCTCATTCAGGAGTTTCACTGATGCTCAGCATAAGAGAACAGACCCACTTCTGGTATTACTGAAAAGCAGACACTTCCAATTCATGATGTGTTAAGAATGGAAATAGGTTTTGGGGAGGAAGGGACAAAATACCAAATTCTAAACATAATTATTAATGTCTTAGTCTAATGAGTATACAGTCCAGGTAGTTACACAGTTTCAATAATCAAAGGGCAAGTGGACATTCCAGAATGAAGGTGCACAGTTTAAAATCTTTTATACTTGGCCAAATGAATGATCATATATTAGCTCTGATTCATAGCTCCATCAAAGCTATATAAATATTTTTTAAAGTATGACTCTACTGACAGTTTAAGTTCCTCTTTTGATTAAAGATTTGTATTTCTAGTGAGTAACTAGAAATAAGGGGAAAATTGGTTCCAATTGTGATATCATACACTGAATAATTTAATATACTATAACACAATTTAGAGTCTAATAATAGCTATTCTGCAAAGTTCTATCTAAGGAATTAGCTTAGGTGACACGTTATGAAGGTTTAAATAAATTATCCTTCCTTCAGCAAAGAAAAGGAGAAATAGGGTGATGGTTTATGATAGGAACTTAAGCATTAGATAACTGTAATAACAAGGGTAGAATATTTTTTCATAAGATTATTTAATATAATAGAAAATTGTAATGTATAACACCTACTTTTTGAAATGAACATGCAATAATTTCTAGGGAATTATTCAGCTAGCTGTATTAATTTTGATTTGGTTGATCTACCTTTTGAATAGTCGTATTGTATGAGTATGCTGAAATGTGGCTGAAGCCAGTTGAGCCTGACAGAAATCAATTGTTAGCCAGAACCCTTTAAAATAGACAAGGTTGTTTTCTTGGACTATCTGAGCTAAATAACTTTTCCACTTTCTGTTTCCAGGTTATTCTTGTGTTGACTACTTTCCAGCTTCCTCTAGTCATCATGAGCTTTGGGCAGTCTAAATTATACCGAAGGTAAGGACGTTATAGTTGTCTATAGTTCTATGTAAATAGATATTTATTAATTTTTCTTTTTTTTAAAAAAGTCAGCATTGCTTCTGTGCCCAATTGCTACAACAGCCTTTCCTGGTTCCATCCATTAAAAGTTGGGTGACCTGTCCCTTTCAAAAGCTGCTTTCCTGTAAATATGTACAGTTTTCCATGCTTAACTTTAAACAATGGCAACATAAACCTGTTTTTGTTGAAATAGGAACATGTTGATCCTGGATGTTTTTATCTTAAGAGATGATCAAATGTAATCCATCTCTTTCCTCTGCCTGTTGGAAATAGCTTCAGAAGCAGCCCCCCTTTTTGATTACTAGTATAGTTAATAAAATGTTGAGATAAAGTGAAAGCCTCATCTACCAGTTAACATTTCATATAATTCATGCTAGAATTACAGTCATTTATTTTTTCTCAGGTGGAAACAAGAAATATTGGTTAGACTTTTTCCTCCAATATTTGCTTTGGTGTGGCTGACTGCTCCTGCTTTTCCATTTTTCGGTTGTTAAGTAGAACAGGTTGCACCAGAGAGGTGAAGCCTGAGGAGGTAGTCCTTTTAGAAAGGAGTTGCTCCTGCCAAGGGGAGGCATACTGTATAGTAGTAGTTTGCTCCCAACTTCAAGATTCCAACAGGCAGAAGAGGGATTTACTGACATGTGGTCAGTAAATTAAGATTTGCTGTGGAATCTGGAAAAGAAAGAACTGGGAAAGCCCCATTGCTGAGACTGAGCAGTATTTCTCAGTCTCAGCAATTTTAAGAGGTGTGGACTTCTATTCCCAAAATTCCCTAGCCAGTGCCGGGAGTTGAAGTTCACACTTCTTAAATTGCTGAGACTGAGAAACACTACTCCAGGACAGTGTTGAAACAGAATGTTTCAATGCAGTAGTGACTGTGGTAGATCCTTCTAGCCATGAGAGAGCAGCAGTTTTGAAAACCCTTCTTTGACTGAATCATCAATACTGCTAATATCAAGCCAAATCAATTTTGTTCCTTAGAGGTTTAGTTGAAGGTGCCATTTATGATTATGGTCCCTACTTTTAGAATGGGTACAGATTTATGGATTTTTAATAGCATTTTTTTTAAAGTTTAATTGACTACTTGTTTTAATTTTTAATTGTGTTAACTATTTTGATGACTACCTGAAAATGAGAGGGATTTTAAAATATGGGAGCTATTTTATATGATAAAATATAGCAGTTGTATCTGTGTAAAGGATAATTATCACTACAATCTGTTTTTTAAAATATTTGTGCACATATATAAACATTATTATTGTGTACCTATTTCATCATGAAACTAAACCATGCCATAGAAAACCTCTTTAAGTGATTTTTACGTTGTTAACTTTTACATTTTTCCAGTTCTTTTTGGTATTTATTTTATTGCTTCAATAAGACAAATGATTACTTCAAGCTGTTTGGGTAATTTTTGTCCTTACTTTGTCTTTTTTTCCCTTTTATCTTAGTGAAGATTATGGGAAAACTTTCACAGATATTACAGACCTCATTAACAACACTTTCATCAGAACAGAATTTGGAATGGCTATTGGGCCAGAGAATTCAGGGAAGGTAGGAACAATTAGTTATTACTGTGCAGAGTAGACGGTTTGTTAGCCCTATACTTTGTGATAAAATTGGAAGTCTTGAGATGAAGGGTCTAAAATGGCTGCATTTTAATAATTTAGCTTAGTATTGGAGAATAGATTTAAGATGGTACCTGAGTTGTTAACATGGCTGGAACTATTTAAGTTTATTACTTAAGTGGATTTAAGTTTATTACTAGTTTTCCAGTGGTTGCTACTTGCCAAGGCATTCTAGAGCAGTGGTGCAAAAAGCTGACAAGGTTCATCTCTGGCATATGATCTACTGAATAGCAATAGCAATGGCACTTAGATTTATATACCACTTCACAGTGCTTTAAAGCCCTCTCTAAGTGATTTACAGAGTCAGCATATTGCCCCCAACAATCTGGGTCCTCATGGAATCGAACTCCTAGCAGTGAGCAGAGTTACCTGCAATACTGTATTTTAATCACTGCTCCACCATGGCTTCATGAGCCTAATGAATAGGTCCAAAAATATTGACTTTTTCTTGGATTTTAAAAGGTCAAAGGAAGGTTTGACCAAACTGTGTTTCTTAAGCTTTTTTGGATTCCTACTTATCACTTTCCAAAAATCTGGGGTGCCCTTGACCTGAAGAAAACTGGGCAGCTCTGCAGTGCAACCTCATAACCTTACTTGTTAGAGCAGGCTAGTATCATCTAATTCTTCTTTCCCCTTCTTGCTGCATATTGTCTTAAATAAATTGTATAGGACTTGTCTGTCATTAGTGGGGAGATAAGGTTATGATTGTGGTTTCTCTAACTTGTACTGAATTTTAAATTACTGCCATTAGTTTGCTTCCAGAACTAAATAAATTTTTTTTCTCTCAACATAATTTCATCCTATATTATTGAGACTGTCCATGGATATAATATGGATAAGATTTTTCTTTCCCTGACATTTCTATCAGAGGGATAAGCAGGAATAGTTTAATTCTTTAGAGATTTCCTTAATGGGTTTCATAAAATCATTTGTGGCATAGCAAAGCAGTTCCATTTGTCATCGCAAAAGCCATAAACCCAGTGTCTTGCATTAGAATTTCTAATGCTACTTATGCTTACTTTTTTTCCCAGGGACTTATTTTGTCCTTTTAAAAACTATTCTAAATATGGATTCAGACATTCTAGTTTCAACACACGATACACTGGCAGTGTGGATGAGCTCCTGTGTGAACATTTGGGAGATGATTCTCATCTTTACTTTTCTAGGTCATACTGACTGGGGATAGATCTGGATCACACCATAGTGGAAGAATCTTCCGATCATCTGATTTTGCGAAGAATTTTGTACTAACAGATCTTCCTTTCCATCCTTTAACTCAAATAATTTATCACCCTCAGAATTCTGATTTGTTATTGACCCTTAGTACTGAGGTAAGATTTGGAGAAAGGGGATGGAGATTTCTTCATTGGTGTGGCAATTGAAATTGTGATCTTGTGATCTAATATTTGGGGGGGATGATTTTGAATGACATAGTCACAATTTCTATTTAGAAAAATATATGTTTTCTAGATTTACAGATGATTATTCAGATATTAGGACAGCATTGAATTAGGATAGCACTGAAAATTGTGATTATGACCTGTCCTCAGAGTTCTGACCATCTGTGCATTTATATTATTGCAATCTGGCCGTTTGCTAACTGGCTTGCACGTATGACCCCGTGTTCACATGATTGTAATTTGCAACCTTTCCTGATAATTTCTTCCGAAGGTTAGTGGGGAAACCAGCAGGGAAAGTTACAAATTGCTGGGTAATTCTGCAGAGATTGCTGTCACTAAGTGATGTGATCATGCTTTACATCTGTATTGAAATGCAGGTACCAACTGCTGTTGGAAGTCAAGGGCTACCTATATTTATATTCTGCTTTTCCTTATGGAGCTCAAGGAAGTTCATATAAAGGTTTTTCTTCATTTTGCCTTTATAACATCAGTTCCATGAGGAAGGTGGGGCTAAAAAATAGCGATTGGTCTAGATCAAACTTGGACATTTTATGATCCATGGGCCACATCTGGTCTATGGGCAGTCCCAGTCTGGCCTGTGTTATCAGCAGTGTCATCAGCAGGGCTGGGGTGTCATCAGCATCGGCATCAGTGTGTTGAGGGGGGGGCAGTGTGTCAGTGCAGTGTTGGCAGCCTCGGCATCAGGGTGTCAACAGTGAGGGATTGAGCAGCGATGGCAGGGGCCTTCCAGAGCAAACCATGTTTCTCATGTGGCTCCTTTGGAAAATGAATTGCCCACTCCTGGCCTAGATGAACAAGTCCTTCTCTTTGAGGATTGTAAAACATTATACATTTGATTAAAGTATGATTGAATTTCTTTAGCCAATTTAAATTGATAGGCTTATATTACATAAGCTTTGGTTGGTCCAGAATAATAGGGCCCTATTTGGGAAGGGCTGGTTTTTCAGGAGTATATAAATTCTTTTTATTTCTAGAGTTTAACTAGTTTCTGGGCACATATCAAACTGCTGGTTCTGGATTTTCAATGGTTTAACCGATTAAGTCCAGGATGTTAAAAGAACATTTTCAACAGATCCATCAGGCTATTCTTTATGTTCTTTATGTTCAACAAATTTGACCTTTACTGAAGCCCTGTACTTTGCCTGCTAAGAGAGGCCTGTCTCTCCTCCTACTGAAATTCAGTTGCTATTGCAGATTATGTTGCTCTTCTCAATCTTACATTTGGCCTAGTGAGTTATGTTTCTTAATATAAAATGATTTTTAAGTGTTTCCTTTTTTTTGCTTTCTCTTAATCTTCATTTTTACATCAGCAATTTTAAATAAATTAGGTTACAGATTAACCTGTACACTATAAACATAAACATGTATAACTTTACTATGGACTTTTGGTTTTGTTAAATGTCAATCACTTGAATATGATGAACCAATAATAAGCAACTCTTTCTAAATGTTCCAGGGTAGCTTGTGGATATCAAAGACATTTGGTGAGAAATGGAAAGAAATTCACAAAGATGTTTGCTTGGCCAAATGGTAAATTTCTTAATGAATGCTATCCAGGGAGAACTGATAGTTTAATATATATTAATGTAGCATAAATGTATATTGAATGTACATATATATATATAAAGAGCCAATTTTGTAACTGTTAAATTCAAATGCATTGCTTTTGCTAATTTTCATCTTGAGTATACCAGGGTAATTTAGTGAGTAGATATAAAATAGCTGGGGAGATGACCACAGGCTGTCATAGGAAACCCAGATTTTGAACTAACATTTCCAAATAAAAGTATATTACATAAATGAGAAAAACATTTGTATAAGACTTTGGAAAGTTGCTGCTTATTAGCATACCGTATATTCCGGCATATAAGGCGACCTGGCATATAAGACGACCCCTGTCTTCGGCGCCGAGTCACATGCCTAGAAAGTCGTCTTATATGCCGGAAAATACCGTAATTTCCGGCGTATAAGACGACTCGGCATATAAGATGACCCCCGACTTCAGCTCTGAGTTTAACGCTTGCGAAAGTCGTCTTATATGCCAGAAAGTACAGTAGTGATAAACCAATGGTCTAATTTATATAGAAGTGAACTCCCTATTACAGTGTGACTGTTAACTTTCAGTGATGCTTATCTGTAGATTTCATACAATCCTAATGCTTCTTCTGCCTCTTAACTTTCAAAAATCTTAGCTTGGCTTACTAATTAGATACAATTTGTGACAACTCATCTCTGTATACATGAAGTTGCCCAAACTGATATCCTCCAGCTATCTTGACCTTCATCCCTCATAATTCTCTAGTCAATTTATTGAAAATTAAGAGAACTGAAATGTCCATATTTTTGGATTACATTACAGCATTCCTGAAACTGAATTTCAAAATAGCTGGAAAACTTGCTCTATACCGAAACCAAAATAATACTTTCACACAATTCTGATTTTTGATTTAGTGGTTTGTATGTATTTAACTACACAAAGTGTTATCACCTATCCCAGTGTAGTAAGAATCTGGTTAATTGTAGCTTATTTAATAAACTATAGTGAAGCCATAATTTAACATGATGTATGAAGTCATCCTACAGAATTGAAGTCTCAATTGTTTAGTTAACCTTCTACCATTACACTAATTATATTCTCTTGATCTATCCTAGGGGTTCTGGTGGAACCATCTTCTTTACTACCTACCTGAATGGCTCTTGTAGTAAGTAACCTTAGTGTAATAAACTATTTCAGTTCAGAGCTTTTTTTGCAGATTTTATCAATTCTTTTCTTTGAGTCCACAGTCTCAAGAAGTCTTGACCATAGCTTATTCATCTGCAGTTATTTTAATGTGGGAAAATCATATTCTGGCTATATATATTTGTTTATCAATGTTTGGAATCTTTTCCCTGAGACTGATCCATAGAAAAGTGTAGTTATAAAAAGTCACTGTCTTGTGACTAAACGTTATGGGAAGTGTCAAAACCTCAGTTTGCTTGCTAGTGTTTAGGAGTTGCAGTAGTTCCATTTTCTCTCTTCTTTCTCTCTTTCTGCTGCTGATGCATTTCCAATTCACAGAACTTTTGCCTAGTAAATAGGTATTTACTGCCTTTATATGGCATGAAATTAACTTTTGATTATGATATTGAGGGACGTTTCAGAGGAGAGGGATTTGACATATGACCCTTGGTTTTCACATATCCCCTTTTCCAAACTACTTATGAATAACACCTAAAATTTATAACTATGAAGATAAGAACAATTATAAATCTGACTAGCCATATTGAAAAAAAAATACACCACTATTATATTACTGAAACCATAATCAAGGCAGCAATAATTAATTTTTCCTACTTTCCAATGACATATTGCATGAAATGTAATTTCTAGGACAGAGGAAATTTAAGTAGTTAATTTTTTTTAACTAAAAGAGCCTGTTCATGAATGATGGTGAGCAATAAAAGAATCTTTTTATTACAATTAGATATAAAATACTGCTTAAGGAAACCTATATATAACATAGCTATAAATATGAATCAGCTAGGTCAGGGGTAGGCAACCCAAAACACTCAAAGAGCCACTTGGACCCGTTTCCCACCAAAAACAAAACACCGGGAGCCGCAAAACCCTTTTGATATCTAAAATGAAGATAACACTGCATATATCCTTTTTTACCTTTATTATAGGTGTGTGTGTGTGTTTGTGTGTGTATATGTGTGTGTGTATGTGTGTGTGTGTATATATATATATGTATGTATGTATGTATGTATGTATATGTATATATACACATTAAAAATAAAAGTAAAAATATGACTCTTGGGAATATCCATACTATTAAAACAATGATCACAAAGAGAATGCTTTAAGAGAATAAAATTACATACACACAAAGGTAAAAAAAGGATATATGCAGTGTTATCTTCATTTTAGATGTCAAAAGGGTCTCTCTCTCTCTCTGTCTCTCTCTCTCTCCCTCCCTCTCTATCTGCCCTTGGTCTGCCACTCCTCTTCCCCCACTCTCTTCTTTCTCTCTCTCTTTCCTCTCTCTCTCTCTCTCTCTCTCTCTCTCTCTTTCTCCACCCCCTCCTATCTGCTGCTCACCTGGCAAGCTTCAAGCTGTTGTCCAACAAGCTCAGGGGTAAGCAACCTCGTCTCTTTTATGACTCATGGACTTCAACTCCCAGAATTCCTGAGTCAGCCTAGCTGGGCTAGCTAGCTCTCTCCTTCCCTTCCTGCTTCCTGCTTCCTGCAGAGACGCAGCAAAGGGAGGAGCTCCGCCAGTAAGCTTTTCAGCTCCTCGGAGAACACTGTGAGTGCACTCTCTTTTACACACGCGCGCACACACACACACACACACACAGAGAGAGAGAGAGAGAGAGAGAGAAAAGCAGGGAAGCGCAATTGCCTCTCTCTGTCTCTGTCTCTCTCTGCAAAGGCAGAAGAGGCTGGGAGCCACAGGGGAAGGCTCAAAGAGCCGCATGCGGCTCCGGAGCCGCAGGTTGCCGACCTGTGAACTAGGTTGCTGATGTAAAGAGGTCTTCACGTATTGAATCAGTTTTTTGAGATAGTTTGGTTTTCCACCCTGATGTTTATGTGGATGTCTGCAAAATGGAAGTCTATATATATATATAAATTCTTTCTTCAGATACTCATGTTCACTATGCAGGCTGGGTTCCTGCACAAGATTGGAATGAGATTAGCTGTTTCTTTAGCATGTCATGGAGGGAGCATGTTTGTTTCTAAATAGAGTTGTCTAAATGCATCTATTTCTCTTCTGAAGAAACTGATATCGGATTATTGGAGTTAAAGAAAACTAAAGACTTTGGGAAGACATTCAAGACTATAGGAAACAACATTTACTCCTTTGGCCTAGGTGGTCGTTTTCTCTTTGCATCCGTGATGATAGAAAAAGTAAGAAAACTATTCTTGGGCTTCTTTTGAACTAAGACTTGATGTTCTTAGTTCACATTCCTCTAATGCAATGTTCCTAAACTGTTAGCCATTGAGTTATTGCAAGAAGTCCACAACAAATAACAAAAAACAAAAAACTATTCACAGTTCTTCCTCTGGTGCAAATGCTGATGGAAAAGTACTTTCCTGGTTGGTGTGAATGGGAAGGAGACAAATACTCGACTGGCCTAAGAGAAAGATTGCAGAAATAACACCAGTCAATTTGGTCTGGTTCTTCCTCTTTCCTGGCCTGCGTCAGTATTTTTGTTCCTCCCAAGATATACAACATCCATGAGTTTTCCCATTAACAGCCCAAGTATCATGCTTGGCTACAAGATCTGTAGATGTTGCTAGATGTGCTCACCTTATAACTAGTGTCACTGTTCTTTATTGTCTGTAGACTGCTCTCCCTCACACAGCTAGCCTGTTATCTACCAGATCTTCCTACCCATCTGTTGCAGGTCCTTTTATATATATTTCTCCATCCATATATTTTGGCACCCTTCAGCCTCAACCTCTAAGGCAGGAGTGTCAAACTCGCAATGTCATGTGACGTGTCGCGATGTATCGCAACTTTTTTTCCATTGCCAGCAGTGGGGCGGCATGATGCAGTTTGACACTCCTACTCTAAGGCCCCACCAGTGGCTGCTGCCACCCCTTTCAGATTCAGGAAGCAAAGGGTATTCTACAGAAGTTGAGAAGATACTCTCAGTATACACATATCATTTCCATCAGCAATAATTCCATCATCCCTATTGCCAAAAGCTCCTTTGTCCATGTAATGGCCACCACCAAGCACACACTGGTGCTTACTTGTCTGAACTGACCGGCCCTGAGGCCCAATTGAGCCCCAGAGGTCTTTAGCTTTACTTTGCCTGCCCCACTGTTTGCTATTTTTCTCAAAGGCAAGGCTGCTCTAATGTGTAAGTTCTTTGAAAGTTTATCATTGCTTAATAAACAGCAACATTTTAAAAAATACGTTATAAAAACAATATATCCTCGTAAACATTTTCTAGTTGTTTCATATTATGGACAGCTTCCTCATAAATGAATATGAATATAGAGAAAAAATATTTCTGCTTTATTTAGACTAATACAAGAAGAATCCATGTGTCACTAGATGAAGGTGAAACATGGAACATGGCTCAACTTCCTTCAGTTGGACAAGAACAATTTTACTCTATTTTGGCAGCAAATGATGACATGGTGTTTATGCATGTAGATGAACCTGGAGGTGAGAGGAATACAAAATGGGTGATGTATCATTCAGTATATCCAAATTTTGCTTTGATTATGCTTACATAATTTCATTTTAAAAGAAAAATGGTTCTGTAAGTTGTTATCATTATATAGGATTTTACCTGAGACAAAAGTGTTTGAATTACACATTTAGTAAATAGATTTCCGGTAGATTTACAAATTGTTATTTTGAAAATCTGTTCTCAGTGTCAGTATAATGTATATAAATTTCTTGACAACTTTCTTTTCCATGCTAGTTTAAACAAATACGTTGTATGAACATGTTTTTACTTAGGTAGACTTCATCTGGTTCTTAATTTAGTGTACTATTACTGCAATAGGTTTTAGGCTGATCTGAAATACAGATTGCGTACAGGAGCTTTCTAGTAACTTACAGTTTGTTGGTGAATTAAGATACAACTTAAAACCACCTTCTGTAAAATGCTGTTTCTCATCTTTCAATTTGCTGTTTCTTTTCCAGATACTGGACATGGAACAATTTACACCTCTGATGATCAAGGCATCATATACTCCAAGTCCCTGGAAAGGCATCTCTATACTACCACTGGGGGAGAGACAGATTTCACCAATATAACCTCCCTACGAGGCAGCTACATTACCAGTGTGCTTTCAGAGGGTGGGTTTTCATTTTTCAAATTTCTTTAATTGTTTATAGGATTGCTGAATTCTTCTAAGAAAATGGTTAAAATATTTGGATAAATTTGTAAGATGTTCTTGTGGAACACTTTTATAAAACTTCATAATTAATTAGCTCTTTGGCTGTCATTGTTTATGCCATATTGACTAGAACTATTTAGTTTCTGCCGAAAGTTGAAACTTTTTACATTACTTTTGTAAAGTAAGAAGATAAAATTAATATGTGCCAAATTGTGATGGAAGGCAAGCAATTTCTGTAGATGGCGATCAAACTTTTTATTCAGAGTGGAAATGTCAAGCTACAATGTAAAACTTTGAAATTCTATATGGAAATTATGTTTTATTCAAACCAAAAAAATAACACTTCTGCATAAGAACGGGTGTTTGAAACTTTGAGGTCAGACTACATATATTGGCCCAATTGCTTCTAAGCATAGGGATGATTATTATATCGTAAGTAACACAGACAGGACAAGCTGTGTTTCTATCTTGTTTCCTTCCCCATTTGCTGAGAAATGAATGATTAGGTGCCAATTTAAATCAGTGTATATAAAGTGCTTTTTTATACAATGTAAGTCCCTGAGAAGAATCTATAGTCTGTTGCTATTATAAACTTGTAAAAAGAAATTACTGAAGGAAGGTTATTCTTTCCTGCATGACACTAATGGGTGATTTGCTTGTTGGCTGATTTCCTTATCTACTTATTTTCCTGAATAAATTTCAGATGTTGTTTTCTGCTTTGGTTTAATTAAAGTGTAATCTGCCTTTGAAAAATAAAAATTGATTGATTGCTAAAGAAAAAGTTTTTTAGTAACTTTTTGTAAAAGTTCATGGTTCTTTGATGCTTGGGATAATAGCTGTTGCATAACCTGGAAACAAACAAACAAAAAAAAACCAACAAATTTTTAGATTTTCTGAGGATATTGTATGGTTTATAGTATATTAGACAAAGTTATGGATTTTTTCTTTTTCTTTAATCAGATAATTCCATTCAGTCTGTGATTACCTTTGATGAAGGAGGGGAATGGATCCACTTGAGGAAACCAGAAAATGCTAAGTGTGACTCAACAGCCAAAAATAAAGAAAAGGTTTGTTTTTCAATGTATTAGCAAAAATGAAATGTGAACTCGATCAATGTTGACAAGCAAAAGAAGTATGTATGGTAGGTCCAAACTAATTTTTACTGAGATCAAGGAATCATGTTAAGATGTTACATGAACAAAATTGATGTGTTAAACAGCCTTTGGAATTGTTCAGTTGGAAGCTGACTTGTGTGGTTGTTTTAATTCATATGCAAGACAGATTAATGCCTAGAATTTGAGATAAAATTAAAGTTAAAAATATTATTAGGAACATTTTGCAAGGAAAGTAGAATGCTGAAAAAATGTATACTGAGTGGAGTTTAATTTAGCCAAAAGAAGAAAATGTAAAACTGTCGAACCTATAAAATTAAAAAGTTGCTTGGACCATATGGGTTCTGAATGAATTGCTTCACTTTTGAGATTTTGATTCTTAAATGAATGAATGAATGAACCTTTATTATCAAAATATAACATGTATACAGTGAAATTGGCTGAGCCTCCCTCCATGCCCCCCCCTCCACAACTCACAGTGACTACAAACCCCCAACTTGTTACACCCTGTGAGCTAATTGCACAGCACACCGGCCTCATGAGTCTGTCATGCATAAAATTATGTCCCATTCAAGAACCTGACAGCCCATGGATAAAAGCTGTTCTTCAGCCTGTTAGTCTGCCCTGACTTTGCATTAGTAAATTTTTTCTATATTGGTAGATGCATTGAGACGAGTAATGATGCTAGCTTTACATTTAATGAAATCATATCCACGATGTCCTTGTATTTTGTCTCTCATTCTTGTTTGGATTATCTTATATTTACAGTGCAACCTTCACATTCATGCATCCTATAGCATCTCCCAGAAGCTGAATGTACCTATGGCACCCCTGACTGAACCAAATGCTGTTGGAATTATTATTTCTCATGGTAATGAATTAATCTTATGCACACATAATATGCAATGAAATAATGTGCAAGAGCAGAGACTTTTATTGTGATCCTTCACTACCTTTAGATTGCTTTTTCTCCCTGCTTAATTAGGAGAGATACACTGTGAAGGATGTGAAATACATGTGGTAGGTCTTGGTGAGAAAATTGATAAAATTGCCATTTATGGTGCTTTATGTTGCAGGAAGTGTTGGAGATGCTATCTCAATAACAAACCCAGATGTTTACATTTCGGATGATGGTGGCTACACCTGGACACGGACACTTGAAGGTCCCCATCATTATGCAATCTTGGACTCTGGAGGCATCATTGTGGCTGTTGAACAAATTCATTTTGTCAACGAGATTAAGTACGCAAGAGTTTTGCTAATATTTGTTTAGTAGGAGGACATAAGTTCTCTGTTTGGTTCTCAGCCTCCACATCACTGGTTACAGAAGTTCAAAGACATTGTTTTCCTGGTATAATGTCAAATAGAATCGCTCTGAAATTTGAACATATGAAATATATAAAAATGGACAAGAGCCAGATTTAGATAAAAAGGATTACAACAGAATTTGTAATCTTATTTCAAAAATAAACTCCAGAACAAGGGGCTTAATTTGAAGTTAATATACATGGAATTATATCCAAGAAAAAAGCTTAGGAAAAAGGGTGCAAAGAAGAAAGGCAATCATAGTTGAGCATATAGTCTGGGGTAATACAGGTAGTTTCCTGGGCTTACAATTTAGTTGAGTCCAAAATTACAGCTGCAAGTCATGCTGATCATTTATGACATTTTTTGTAGCAGTTATTAAACAAATGTGGCAGTCGTTAAGTGAACATCACTATCACTAAGTAACCACTGTGGTCTTTAAACAAACTCATTGTTTGCAATGACCACTTTTGCTGGAAACCCAAAATAAACATTGGTTTATGGCAAAAAACGTAAATTGCGGTTATGTGACTTTATGCGGGATGCTGCAAATGGCTGTAAATGCAGGACAGTAGCCAAGCACTCAAAGTGTGATCACATGACTGGTGGGGAGGGAGGGAGGTGTTGGAACTTTGAATCCGGATCATAAGAAATTTCTTACAGCTTCGACCAGTTGCTCGGTGACTGGTCATTAAGAGAGAACTACCTGTAATCTCTTGTGAAGACATGAGTTGTTGAGGAAAAAAGGAAAAAAAAAATCTTATTTTTTTAACCATCTCCTCCTCGCCCCCCACCCCCCAAAAAAACCCAGAGGTGAGGACAAGGTTGTTTTATGTATATGCTTGGGTTTCTTTTTCCTGTATGATTCCACATTTTTTTCGGCTTAATAAAAAGAGTCATCTTGTTAGGGACTGTTGTTAAATTAGCTGTCTGATCAGTTTAAATCAGTGTTTCTCAACCTTGACAATTTTAAGGCAGCATTGCTGGCTGTGGAATTCTGGGAGTTGAAGTCCACATGCCTTAAAATTGTCAAGGTTGAGAAACACTGGTTTAAATAGATCTGGGTCATGATTCGAAACCAAATTTCTAATAATTATTTATTTTAGGTTCTCAACAGATGAAGGACAGTGCTGGCACAGCTATGTTTTCAGTGAGGAGCCTATCTTTTTCACTGGTTTGGCCTCAGAACCTGGAGCAAAATCAATGAATGTTAGCATCTGGGGATTTCATGAGAGCTTCTTATCTCGCCAGTGGATCTCATATACCATTGATTTCCAAGATCTCCTCAGCAGAGACTGTGAGTGATCTTATTCCTTACAGAAATACCAGCAGCCACACACACTATTACGGCTTTATGAATCAGAAGAGCAACTGAGGCAGAACATCTTGTATAGGCTGCGATGTTATTCTGTGATGTGATTTGGTACCTTTCAAATTAGAATACAGGTAGTCCTTGCTTAGCAACCAGTTGTTCAGTGAGTGTTCCAAGTTGCGACAGCACTGAACGAGTTGTACTTACAACTTGATCCTCAAAATTCCGGCCCTTCCAGTACCCCCACAGTTATGTAATCATGATTTGGGCAATTGACAATCAGCTTGAATTTAATGACAGTTGTATTATCTCACAGTCACATAATCACCATCCAGAATCTTTCCTGTTGGCTTCCCACATGCAAAGTCAGTGGGGAAACTGGCAAGAACAGTCATGTGCTGCTCTGATAAGTTTGTCTCTGCCTTCCTGAGCATTGTGCCAAACTCTGCTTCCCTCAGCCTCCCTGAGCTCTTACCACACCATGCCGTCCTCTGCTCAGCCTCCATGCACGCCTAACATGCGTTCCTTTCCTCAGCTTCCCTGCGCTTGCACTGTCTCTCCATCCCTCAGCTTTCACAACACAGTAGCCCACTTGCCCAACTTGCATGTGACCTGCACCTCCCCCACCCTCCCAGCGGCACCCATTTGAGACTATATTTATGATGCCAGCTGCAGATCTCCAATCCCTAATATTTTCAGAGCTGGGCAAGATAATTTTAAAACGCCTATTTAATTTTGGAAATCTCTGAATTTTTCAAAAACAATTGAAGAATTTGAGCAAGTTTTTGGGTCAACGTAAGAGCAGAGATAAATACTCCAGCTATTTCTATATGTAATTCTACAAAACATTTCCTCCATCTTTGTTCTCTTAAATTGATTGTACAGGGGAGCAGGGATGTCTCCCTTCATTCCGTTTTGTTGATTGGTGTATGTTGCAAATGCAGGGCCCATGAGATGTAGCTTTGCAACCTCTTAGCTGGAAAAACTACACAATTTCCTTAGGGTCCCATAATACCCGAATGTAACACTTTGTGAAGAATTGAAAATTGTCAGGAAAAACACGTATTACTCTTTCTAGTTTCTTTTGGCAATCTTAGAAATCTGGCCATTATTCTTTCCTCAGGTGAAGAAAAGGACTATACAAAATGGTTGGCTCATTCCAGCAATCCCAGTAATCCCACAGATGGATGCATACTGGGCTACAAGGAAGAATACAGACGCCTTCGCAAATCCTCTGTCTGTAAAAATGGCCGGGACTACATTGTGACCAAGCAGCCATCTGTCTGCATTTGCACATTAGATGACTTTCTTTGGTACGCTAAAAATCAAGAATCTGGTAGCACCTTTTTCAGTTAACACATTTTACTACAAGGCATAAGCTTTCATAAGTTGCTTTTGGAAACTCCATTAGATGCTTAGAATGGCATTTTCCTTTCTTGGTCTTTTTTTAAGTGTTATGAAATGGTTAGAGCTATTACTTTTTTCCGTCTTTATTTTTCCACCAGAGCTTACCTATAGGCAGTAATAATGGCACAGTATTTGCTCAAGATTTTCAGTTGTATCATGTGGCTGAACTGTACCAGAGACATTGTGTGCCTTCTTAGTCCCCCCCCCCCGTCCTCTGGGATTGCTCCCAGGTCAGGCCCCATTTTTCTGCTTCCTTTGTTCTACTCCACTGGATCGGAATTCTCTGTCAATTTTCTTATTGCCATTTTCAAGTCTCTTCTATTTTCTCAGACTGTGACAGCAGAATCCAGCTCCATTGTCATTAGGGAAGTTGATCTGTCTCACTGGTGACCTATAACACGTCACATCAGACATTAGACAATGTCTTGATTTACATATAGCAGTAAAATATGCTTTGTTTTAAGCACGATTGATGAACAAATCATAGTGGCTTAGTTCTGATCTAATTGCAAAGCTATACATGTTTTATGAAATCCAGTGGCTGGATTCAAAAACCATAGTACTTTAGAACCACACTAACCACATTAATAAACACATTTAAATGAATTAAAAAATAAATAATGAAGTGTGAGCACTGCCACCTTCTGTGCATGACATGGCATAACACAGTTATAGTCCAAACTACAACTATTGCAATGAGTGACCATTAGTAAACTAGAGAAAGCAATGTGAGTTAGTGTGTCAGAAATTACTACAGCAAGCAATAAGAGTTGTGCTAGAAGCTGGTTATGATTACCACGTTTTATTAATAGGTTTGTTTGAGATGGACTTACAGTATGCTCTCAGTTATGGCTGTACTTTTCAATGTTTCTTTAAAAAAGGCATTTCTCACTGCAGTAGGATTCAACAAACATTAATACCATTGTTCTAAAATTCTAATGTATGTTATGCCTTTCATTTTGGCACAAGACCTATTTTTTTTTTAATATATTTTATTGGTTTTTTAATTTTAACAAAAAGTACTTAAAACACACCATGGTGTTTGGGTAAACAAACATTCCAAAATACAAGCATAGATAAACAGCTCAACTTAGTACATTCACTGTCATCTCTCAATCTCCTTCAAATAACTAGTACATTTAATATATTCCATTTCTAAATTAAATTTCTATTACTACTAAACCTGTTTTACAACTTTGTCAGTTTACAATTACCATAATCAGATATAGTTTTATATCAACAAATTGTCACTTCGAATATCTCTTCCAGATACATTCAAACTCTTAATCAACTTAGTTGAAAAAAGTTAAACCTTAATCATCAATTCATTACAAACACTTCAACCTCCATCCAATTAGTTGATACCTTATCAAATCTATACTAATATAGAAGAAAAAAACTAATTAATTTAAAAACTTCAAAGTCCCACTCTAAAAAAGAGAAAAGAAAAAAAAAACCTCAACATTTTTCAATTCCAATACATGATTTCCATCAAAGTCAATCTATTATTCCAAAAAATGCATTCTTAATTCTAATTAAACATATATGTCAGTTTAAAATTACCATAATCAAGTATAGTTTTACATCAACAAATTGTCACTTCAAATATCTCTTCCAGATACTTTCAAACTCCTAATCAACTTGGTTAAAAAAAAATGTTAAACCTTAATTATCAATTCATTACCCAAACTTCAACTTCCACCTTATCAAGTCTATACTAATATACAAAAAAATCATCTAATTAATTTAAACACTTCAAAATCCCACTCTAAAAAAAAAAACTCAACATTTTTTGATTCCAGTACATGATTTCCATCAAAGCCAATTATTATTCCAAAAAATACATTCTTAATCTAAACATTATATATATATATATATATATATATATATATATATATATATATATATATATATATATATATATAAAATCTTTGCTACAATCCATAAAGCCAACATACATGTTTATAATTGCATTTTTCTTATTTCTAACTCTGAATCGTGATCCTTAAAATCCATAAAAACCAACATTGCCTTTAAATCTATTACACAATTTTAAATTTCTTTTTGAATCTAATTCTGGATTTTTTTCTATGCCAAACAGGTTTCCATAAAGATGCTTTCCTTTCAGCCAGTGGATCCACTTTTATTGCTTGCAATAGCCTTTGAGAAAGTATAAATCCTTTCCTCTGCGACAGAGATCTTTTTCTCTTCTCCTTGCAGCATTGTTGCTTTGTAGTTTGAGATCTTAGTCTTTGCTTCTTCTGTTTCTCTAAGTTGCAGAAGAGAGGGTTGTCAGGTGAAATAAGTTCCTCTTTTATCTCTATAGATTCCTCTTCTGGTATGTTTTGATTTATACCATAGTCAGATGTAACATGGACATCCATTTGAGCATATGTAGTAGAATCTCTGAATCTTAGTTCTAAAATAGAGTTTTTAATTGTGGCACATATTTCTGCAGTGGCCTCATAAATCTTTTCCAGTATGAGCGCATAGTTTAATTGTAGCTGAGGTTTCTCCATTTTGATACTAATAATTAAAGCAAGGTCTCTTTTTCTTTTTGTGGAGGCTATATTTGATGTAAACAATATCCACCCCCACAGTTCTCACAATTACACAGCTTATCTTTCCCCCTCCAAAGTCTTTTGAAGTTCAGTGTTCCATCTTTTAAAGAAAATAAGCAGAAGCTGCAGTATTAAATTTTCGCCACTAGATGCCCTCAGTCAAAAAAAGTCTTTTCCAAAGATCAATTCCTTTTTTCTATCTTTGATGTATAATATAAAAAAAGAAATAGTTTTCCCACATAGAATGATAGTACAGTTCTTCTTTCCTGTTTTGTATCCAAAAGAAAAATATCTATAGAAGTGAAATATAGTCTTTTTATATATTTATAAAACACCTTTCTTCCCATAAAAAATAGAAGCTGCCTTTTCAAGCCAGGAAAATAGTTCTAAAAAGCTCTTACAGGTGCCAAAAAAAAGAAAAAGGAAAGAAAAGTAGAATAGAGAGTATTACAAAAGAAAGTTCTCACCTGGGTTCACCATGGGGGCATTCACAGCTTAGGTGTTCTCTGACTTGTGATCTGAAGCGATAGGGCGATCGGCCATTTTACTGTCTGATCTTCTCTGTCGGCTCTCGGAGATCGTCTGGACAGCTGGAGGAGCTGCCGCTCCTCCGAAGTCAAACAGCAGCCTCCTCGACGGAAGTCGCACCCTCCAGAGCGACTTTGGACCCGTATAAGGGTCCAGCGACGGAGGGAAGGCTAGCCGACGAGACAAGTCTCCCTGTGCGACTAGTGACGCCACGAACCAGAACCAGAAGTTGCACAAGTCCTATTTTTTGATGTATTTTTCATTCAAGCAATACATGAATGAATATAATACATTCAATAATATACATGTGTGGCTTAAATATTTAATGTATTACAAATTAGATGTTTATTCTGGAAAATGAGTAGGCAGTTGGAAGCGCAATGCAAAAAAAAAAAAGTGTCCTCTGGAAATATGGGAATCTTCACTAACCAGCTCATCAGCTGAATGTTTGCAAACAGGTTATATAATGGTAGTGAGATATCAGCAGGCTTGTTAAGCACTAGCTGGCTGTTTCATACAGTGTCCCATTTTTGTTTCTTAAAGATTAGTGGATCAGTAAAATGGTAGGACCAGATTTCTGATTTGCATTGTTAATGAAAGTAAAAACCAGTCATCTTAGGTAAGTTTGTTGGGAGGATCAGGATAAGGCTTCCTCTCAGCAAACTTACTGTTTATCTGTTATATGACAGGAATCTTGATGATCATTCAAGAACTGAGATACTGTGCTGTTGTTGAATATCGTACTCCCAAAATGGCAACAGGAGAAGCCCGAATATGTGCTTTAACCTGGATTTAATAGAATTTGTTTAAGCTTTCTTCTACCACTCTGAACTTCCTGGAAAATTAGCAAACTTGCTTGCCAGTATTTTTATCATTGCATTGCATGAACTATCTGTGTTATTTCCTTTTTTCGAGCAGTTGATTGGAACTTCAGTAGAATCATGAGATATTAAAACAGGAACATGCTTCCTCCAAGGCAATTAGGAGCCATCATTGTACATTTCTTAGTAAATCTTCCATCCCTACAAATTTTATAGACTCATAATTTGTCTAAAGTAGGACTAGACAACCTAATGCCCTAAGTCATCATGGTTAACAATAAGAGATTTTGAGAGTTGTAATCCAAAATATGGAAGGCAACAAGTTACTTGCACCAAACTAAAACTTGCTACCTAATGACCTGTCCATGAAAAAATGGAACTCAGTGATGTCCAGAACAGTACCATTCAGAGCATGTCCTACTACATGGCCAAATACAGGTAGTCCTCAACTTATGACCACAATTGAACCCAAAGTTTGCTAAGTAAAACATTTGTTAAGTCGGTTTTACCTGTTTTATGACCTTCCTTGCCAGAGTTGTTAAGTGAATCATAGCAGTTGTTAGTAACACGGTTGTTAAGTGAATCTGGCTTCCCGATTGACTTTGCTTGTTAGAAAGTTACAAAAGGTAATCACATGACCCTGGGACACTGCATCATAAATCATAAATATCAGTCAGTTGCCAAATGGCTGAATTTTGATCACATGACCATGGGGATGCTGCAGTAGCCATAAGGGTAAAAAACAGCTATGAGTCACTTTTTTCAGTGCCATTGTAACTTTTGACCAAATCACTAAAAAAAGAGCCATGGTGGCACAGTGGTTAGAACAGTGGTTCTCAACCTGTGGGTTGGGACCCCATTTGGGGTCGAACGACCATTTCACGGGGGTCGCCAAACCATGCTGTCTGCCATTTTTTTCCCTTTTCCCTAGCTGTCCTACTCCCTCTTATTGGTGGCCACACCCACTTGGGGGTCACCACAACATGGGGAACTGTATTATGGGGTCACAGCATTAGAAAGGTTGAGAGCCACTGGGTTAGAATGCACTATTTCAGGCTAACTCACTGCTCACTGAGAGGAGTTTGGTTCTGCCTGGCTCAAGGTTGACTCAGCCTACCATCTTTCTGAAGTCAGTAAAATGGGGATCCAGATTGTTGGGGGGGGCAATATGGTGGCTCTGTGAACTGCTTAGAGAGGGCTGTAAAGCACCGTGAAGCGGTATATAAGTCTAAGTGCTATTGCTATTGCTAAATGAGCTGTTGTAAGTGGAAGACTACCTGTATAGTTCAGGATAGCCTAGTGTTTGAAATCCTGAATAAATCCCAAGAAAGTAAGATATGCATACTGTAAGTAATGAAGTGGGATGATGTCATCAGTCTGGAAACCTACCATACAGTAAGCTCAATAGAGGAAACGATTGGTCCGTGGAGTTAACAATACAAGTAGTTACCGTATTCTTATGAGCCACTCTGGCACCTTCCCCCTGCCCGGCAACAGCCATCACTGGCCCCACAGCACTCATGCCATCCTTATCTGCTTACTAGTCTGTTTGCAAAGCACCTGGGACTCGCTTAATGAACAATTCTCATTTAATGACAGCATCAGAGAGTGCTGGGATCACTGCTGCTAAGCAATGTGGTCACATGACATTGTGCTTTGCCAGCACATTGCTCAGTGCTGATAATTCCAATCCCAATTACGATTGTTAGCCCAAGGACTCTCTGTAATTCAGGTGAATCTTCATTTTGTTCTGGTCATTTCTGCTGAAAGGCAAACATTCAAAACTCCTAGGGCTATTAAGCAGGGCACTTTGTTGGGAGTGAAGTCATTATAAACTGAAGCAACTATGACTTTTTGTCCCCAGACCAGTATGGCAAAGAGAACAGGGACAATTTCACCTCATCTTTTCCACCAACCAGATCTCTGTAATACGCGTTAGGTAAGGTCAATAGTGCACAGCCAGTTGATCCTGAATGTTATCATAATTTTATTGTTTTCTAAACTGGCATTCAGGAATACCATCTTCATACTGAATTGGGAAGGCACCATCAAATAGAAGACTATAGCTGAGAAACTAACAGAAATCAGGAACACCTGTCATTTCTGTATCTTCCTCTGCTTGCTCTGCTTGCACTGCCTGCCACCGAAAGACCTTTCATTATTTATTTTGAAAGGGTATGCATGCACGTGTGTGTATATGTGTGTGTATGTATGCATCACATTCATGATAAAGCATCTTAATAATCACCTGTCCCCTCTGCAGATATTTATAAAACCACAAGTATCATGATAACAGTCAAAATATTTACGCTCTTCTCTACATACATAAGCTAAATATCAATAATTATTTGTGTAAATGTGCATATATGTTTCAGATGAAGTCAGTGGCTTTTCTTTATGTATTTGTTTATTTATTCTTCTCCTAGTGATTTTGGCTATTTCCGCCCAGAAAATCAGTCTGAATGTGTGGAGCAGCCAGAGCTGAAGGGTCATGACTTGGAATTCTGCTTGTATGGGAAGCAAGAGCTATTAAAAACCAGCGGGTAATTTTCTTGTAAGATTCTAATACATCAGCAGCAGCATGCAAATTGATGTCCTTAGCCAGCAAGAGAAATTGGAAGATGGCCTTAGGGTTGTGGATCCTTTTATAAAATAAATATGTTTTAAACTGTTGGGTCTTTTAGGGTCCCATAATCTCCTGATTTAGATCTTACATTGACCCAAAAGTTTTATTGATGAAATATTTTGAGAGCATAGAGCTTGATAAGAACATTCATTGATTGTATGCCATCATATTAAATATCATTTTGAAGGGCCACTCCAAAAATAAGGCTGATTGTAGGGGAGTATTTTAGAGCTCGAGATAACTCAAGATTAATCAGACAAATAAATAGCCTTCAACTTCCCTGTTCTGAACTGGCACTGACATAGATAGCTGATCTTTGCTAGCTTGAGATGCTCTCACTCATTAAAAGAAAATTTAATGAATGAAGAAAAGGACGAGGGGTGACATGATAGCAGTGTCCCAATATCTCAGGGGCAGCCACGAAGAAGAGGGAGTCAAACTATTTTCCAAAGCACCTGAAGGCAAAACAAGAAGAAATGGATCGAAACTAATCAAGGAGAGAAGCAACCTAGAACTAAGGAGAAATTTCCTGACAGTTAGGACAATTAATCAGTGGAACAACCTGCCTCCAGAAGTGGTGAATGCTCCAACACTGGAAGTTTTTAAGAGGAGACTGGACAGCCATTTGTCCGAAATGGCATAGGGTTTCCTGCCTGAGCAGGAGGTTCAACTAGAAAACCTTCCAACTCTATTATTGTTATTGTTATATCCCCAATTACCCTATTAAAACTGTTTTTAATTTTCAGATATCGGAAGATTCCAGGGGACAAATGTGTAGGTGGGAAGAATCCCAAACGTAAAGAGACAGATCTGAAGCAAAAGTGCACAAGCAACTACCTGAAGTTAAGCCCCTCGGTAGGCTACGCAAAAAAGTGAAAAGAAAAAAATCTGCTGGTGGATAAGGGAAAACATTTTAACATAGTCTAAAAAGAGGGAGAATGCCCAAGAAGTATTTTTCATAAATTTTCATTCATTTTTCTGATACTACTAACCTCGATTTTGTGCAGTCATTCTGATAAATGAGCTTCGGAAACAAGCTACTGAGACCAGTTGCTTTGCAGACTAGCTGCTGATTAGCATTTTGAGGGAGGGAATCTAATTGCAAAGGGCTTCACCTTTTTCAAATTTCTTTCTTCTTTTTTTTTTTGCTTTTCCAAATCTGTGCCGCATTCAAGACGAGTGCAGAGGCCCTTTTGGTAAGGAGCAATTGAGAGATGATAGAAAGATCATTAGAGAAGCACTTTGTAACTATAATGGTCTTGTGTCTAATAATGTGTTACTTAAAGCTTTAGACAGCTCTCTGCTTTCTTCCTACAGAACACTTCTTCTAACTCTACTCCAGTCATCCTGGCTGTAATTGCCTTGATGCTCATCACTGCTGTCGCTGGAGTAGTCATCATTAAGAAATACGTCTGTGGGGGAAGGTGAGCCTCAGAGGGGAGAATGACAAATAGAGCTGTAAGGGAAAAAAATGCCATCTTTGTTACATAGATGTGGAAGCAACAGAATGAGACTGAAATGTATTGGCAGCAATGTCATCCTTATATGAGGAGAAACAAGACATGTGTTCCTATAAACTGAGTGTTAGTAATACTGCTAAACTCTCTCCTTTTTTTTTTTTTTTTTGTCTCGATTTGTCATTGATTTTGTTTGTTTCCAGAATTGGGCTTTGTGATTGAATGAAAGCAGTGGGGGGGAAAGGTAGCCTCTGGGCCCTTTGAGCCAGCTGATTGTTCCAGATATGAGGCTATGCTGCTGTGAATATTCTAGAAGAATCTGCTTTTAGATTTAGAACAATGAGAGACATGAAATGGGAGGGGGGCATTGAGAATCATGAACAGCTGGGGGGGGGGGAGGAAGAGAGGGGTTTTTTTTTTTAAGCTGACAAGCTTGCATAGACAAAATCAGAGCAGTGACAACATTCACTTTTATTTGCCTGACCAAACCCCAAAAGAGGTTTACCCAGAGCGGGAATAAAGCTCAGATCAGATTTTCGGAAAGTCTGGCAATCTGTCAGAATCATCCACCAGTCACTGAAATGTTGTCTAGTTGTGTAAGGGGTGGGGATGGAGGATTGCTTATCATTTAGAGAGAACTTGGTATCACAGAATTGGAGAACCACTAATATAATGAGAATCACTGTTTACTGAATCTAGGCTTAGTAACTTCTCTGACCACTTTTTCAGTTTCTATCATTTTGAAGGCTTTATTCCTTCCACTTTTTATAGCTTATTGTTACTGTAAAACAGCTTACTGAAGAAATTGAGATTAGTAATAGCAACCGATATATTAAGACCTTCAAAAGATCTCTATTTTAACTTCTCTTTAAAGGAGACTGAACTGATATAATCAAATGTACAATAGTTCTTTCATCAGTGTTTTTCATTTTCCTAGATTTCTGGTTCACCGGTATTCTGTCCTGCAGCAACATGCAGAAGCGAATGGCTTTGAAGGACTTGACGTACCTGGTGCCACTAAAACTGGCTACCATGATGATTCTGATGAGGCAAGTGACTGTGCCCCTAAACATGCATCTTTCTAGGCACTCCTGGTTAACTAAGAACCTGACAACTGTGAATTGTTTTTCTATATTGTTTTTGTTGTTGTTGTTGTTAATTGCGAAGTCGTGTCCGACCCATCGCGACCCCATGGACAACGTTCCTCCAGGTCTTCCTGTCCTCTACCATCTTCTGGAGTCCATTTAAGTTCACACCTACTGCTTCAGTGACTCCATCCAGCCATCTCATTCTCTGTCGTCCCCTTCTTCTATTGCCCTCAATCTTTCCCAGCATTAGGCCTTCTCCAGTGAGTCCTTCCTTCTCATTAGGTGGCCAAAGTATTTGAGTTTCAACTTCAGGATCTGGCCTTCTAAAGAGCAGTCGGGGTTGATCTCTTCTAGGACTGACCGGTTTGAACGCCTTGCAGTCCAAGGGACTCGCAGGAGTCTTCTCCAGCACCATAGTTCAAAGGCCTCAATTCTTTTGCGCTCAGCCTTTCTTATGGTCCAACTTTCACAGCCATACATTGCAACTGGGAAAGCCATGGCCTGGACTATGCGCACTTTTGTTGGCAGGGTGATGTCTCTGCTTTTTAGAATGCTGTCTAGATTTGCCATAGCTTTCCTCCCCAGGAGCAAGCGTCTTTTAATTTCTTGGCTGCAGTCCCCATCTGAGGTGATCTTTGGAGCCCAGAAAAATAAAATCTGTCACTACCTCCATTTCTTCCCCATCTATTTGCCAGGAATTGAGAGGGCCGGATGCCATGATTTTGGTTTTCTTAATGTTGAGTTTCAAGCCAACTTTTGCACTCTCCTTCTTCACCCGCATCAAGAGGCTCTTTAGTTCCTCTTCACTTTCTGCCATTAGAGTGGTATCATCTGCATATCTTAGGTTGTTGATATTTCTCCCGGCAATCTTAATTCCAACTTTTGATTCATCTAGCCCTGCCTTTCTCATGATGTGCTCTGCATATAAGTTAAATAGGCAGGGCGACAGTATACAGCCTTGCCGGACTCCTTTTCCAATTTTGAACCAATCAGTGGTTCCGTGTCGGTTCTCACTGTTGCTTCTTGACCCGCATATAGGTTTCTCAAGAGACAAATGAGATGGTCTGGTACTCCCATCTCTTTAAGAACTTGCCACAATTTGTTGTGATCCACACAATCAAAGGCTTTTGCATAGTCAATGAAGCAGAAGTAGATGTTTTTCTGGAACTCCCTAGCTTTCTCCATGATCCAGCGTATGTTGGCAATTTGATCTCTAGTTCCTCTGCCTCTTCGAAATCCTGCCTGTACTTCTGGTAGTTCTCGATCCACATACTGCTGGAGTCTAGCTTGTAGGATTTTAAGCATAACTTTACTAGCATGTGAAATGAGTGCAATGGTGCGATAGTTTGAACATTCTTTGGCATTGCCTTTCTTTGGAATTGGAATGTAAACTGACCTTTTCCAATCCTGTGGCCACTGTTGAGTTTTCCAAATTTGCTGGCAAATTGAGTGTAGCACTTTTACTGCATCGTCTTTTAAGATTTTGAATAGCTCAGCTGGAATACTGTCACCTCCACTAGCTTTGTTGTTGCTCAGATTTTCTAAGGCCCATTTCACTTCACATTCTAGGATGTCTGGTTCGAGGTCATGACCATCTCATTGTGGTTATCTGGGATGTTAAGCTCATTCTTGTATAGTTCTTCTGTGTAGTTTTGCCATCTCTTCTTAATCTCTTCTGCCTCTGTTAGGTCTCTGCCATTTTGGTCCTTTATCATGCCCATCTTTGCATGAAACGTTCCCTTCATATCTCCAATTTTCTTGAAGAGATCTCTGGTCCTCCCTATTCTGTTGTTTTCTTCTATTTCTTTGCACTGTTCATTTAAGAAGGCATTCTTATCTCTTCTAGCTACTCTCTGGAATTCTGCATTCAATTGGGTGTATCTTTCTCTTTCTCCTTTGCCTTTCGCTTCCCTTCTTTCCTCAGCTATTTGCAAAGCTTCCTCAGACAGCCATTTTGCTTTCTTGCATTTCTTTTTCTTTGGGATGGTTTTAGTTGCTACCTCTTGTACAATGTTGCGAACTTCCATCCATAGTTCTTCAGGCACTCTGTCTATCAGATCCAGTTTCTTAAATCTATTTGTCACCTCTACTGTATATTCATCAGGAATATGATTTAGTTCATACCTGAGTGGCCTAGTGCTTTTCCCTACTTTTTTCAATTTAAGCCTAAATTTTGCAACGAGAAGCTCATGATCTGAGCCACAGTCAGCTCCTGGTCTTGTTTTTACTGACTGTATGGAGCTTCTCCATCTTTGGCTGCAGAGCACATAGTCAATCTGATTTCTATGTTGACCGTCTGGTGATGTCCATGTGTAGAGCCGTCTCTTGGGTTGTTGGAAAAGAGTGTTTGTTATGACCATCGTATTCTCTTGACAAAATTCTATTAGCCTGTGCCCTGCTTCATTTTGTACTCCAAGGCCAAACTTGCCTGTTATTCCGTTATCTTTTGGCTTCCTACCTTAGCATTCCAATCCCCCATGATGATAAGGACATCATTTTTTGGTGTTAATTCTATAAGGTGCTGTAGGGCTTCATAGAACCGGTCAATTTCATCCTCTTCAGCACCAGTGGTTGGGGCATAGATTTGGACTATTGTGATATTGAATGGTTTGCCTTGGATTCGAATTGAGATCATTCTGTCATTTTGGGGATTGTATCCCAGTATTGCTTTTCCTATTCTTTTATTGACTATGAAGGCTACTCCATTTCTTCTGAGGGATTCTTGCCCACAGTAGTATACCTGATGGTCATCTGAGTTAAATTCACCCATTCCTGTCCATTTTAGTTCGCTGATTCCTAAGATGTCGATGTTCAGTCTTGTCATCTCTTTTTTGACTACGTCTAGCTTGCCTTGATTCATGGATCTTACATTCCAGGTTCCTATGGAGAAAAAATCTTTACAGCATCGGACTTTCCTTTCACCACCAGATATATCCACAGCTGAGCGTCCTTTCGGCTTTGGCCCAGTCGCTTCATTCTTTCTGGCGCTACTAGTACTAGCCCTCTGCTCTTCCCCAGTAGCATATTGGACACCTTCCGACCTGAGGGGCTCATCTTCCAGCGTCATATCTTTTTTCCTTTTAGTACTGTCCATGGGGTTTTCATGGCAAAGATACTGGAGTGGTTTGCCATTTCCTTCTCCAGTGGATCACATTTTGTCAGAACTCTCTGCTATAACCTGTCTGTCTTGGGTGGCCCTGCATGGCATAGTTTATAGCTTCATTGAGTTACGCAAGCCCCTTCACCACGACAAGGCAGTAATCCATAAAGGGGCTATATTGTTCAGCATATGTCAGTTTAAAAAGGCAATACGATTTCTGAGATAATGGGGGCAAGAACTGTTTTAAGAGACTGGCTAGCTTTACATTTACCACAGCCAGCTTAAGAAGAATTCTTAATTCAAAATATTAGTTTATAATGTTTTTTTTTTTCTGCTCAGGATTTGTTGGAGTAGTGATGGTCTCACCAGGATTGCACACTTCTTAAGTTTGGCTGCTGCTATAGAGGGGCCTGAATGCCAACAGTCCATTTTACTTCTGATATGGATGCCTTTCCTGTATCTGAGAAAGTCTATGTTCCTTTTGCTTCTATCAAGTATCTAAAACCAACAGAGCTGCAAGAATTGCATTAGATTTTTAAGGGGAAGGGCAATGTTCTCCAACTCTGATAAATGAAGAAGGAAAGCTGTTTAATTTAAATATAATTTTATTTTAATCAGATTTCTCCAGATCTAGAAGGAGAACTAATAGGACTGTGAAATAAGGATTTCACTAAATATTAGCATTACTAGGTACAATGTACTATGCTGCTGAAAGAAACTCCCAAATCCCCAAATGGGAAACATACTGCATTCCAACACTGTGATAAAATTGCATTGAAGCTCTTTAGCACAACAACACTCCTAGCAAACAGAGCAATGAGATGCTGGGCAGAGATTGTGGGTAACCAGCATCACAATGGGCTGTGTGCCAAAATGCATTTTATTTTTGTTTTATCTAAAATGTAATCAAATCGGTAGATGTGTACTGTGTAACATAAGGATGACTCCAAGGCTTGAAATACATCTGCAGCCCAACATCCTATGATTCCAAGGAACTGAACTGTGAAATTAGCATGTGTACTGCCATACATTCAAAAACAAACTGCACAGCTCTGGATGGAAAGAGATGTTTGTTTAAAAAAAAAATCTAAAAAAAATAAGCAGTACAGACCTGTTAGAAGTAAGAGTTATTTAAATTGTTTAGGTACCAAATTAGGTACATTGTTTAGGTACCAAATTAGGTACATTGTTTAGGTACCAAGTTAAGTACATTACATCAGCTTCTTGAAGAAAACCTGTTATTTGCGGCAGCACTATGAAGGTTTCAATATTTTCCTTTTCACTGTTTTCTTGAAAGCAATAGATTGGTGCTTGCCACTTCGGCACCATTTTACTATTGTGGATTTATGAGCCTCTTTATATCAGTGTAGTTAAACTGTTGCAATAGCCTTGTGAAATCATATGTTTGGTTTTCCGAAAGTAATAGAAATGGACTCTTCACAATATTTAATTCAAACTGTCTTGATGTCTAGATAGAAACTGATTCTACTAGAAAACCAGTTGACCAGTTAAAAGCACTCCAGGCCAATAGGCAAACTTTAAATTTTATGTGGGTATTCTTCTGTTTCTCCAATGGGGCGACTCCATTGCTTCCCTCCTGCAGTTTCTACTCCGGGAGGTTCTTTAATCCTCCAAAATATATTTGGGTGCATGTTGGGATGGAAGGAGAGGAATATATTTCAATACATTCAGCAACTGACTGAATGTTTCAATCAATTGTTGAAAGACAATTGGGCAAATCCAACTCTAACAATGGTGAGGTTTTTTCCACTGATGGTGGAGAGAAGAGCTGCAGTGTATAGACAGTAGTACATGGTTACTGAAATTGAAATTTGAGGTTTTCCCTGCTTAAATTTGGGGAAAACATTGGGGGAGGATTCTTCGTTTTAAAAATATTTTAAGACTATTTTAGGGATTCCATTACAGATACCATGTGCTTGCTTCAAAATATTAGAAAACTGTTTCCAGGTTCAGCTGTTACATCCAGAGTGATAACTAAGCTGCCAAACACTGAGCAATATTGCCCACCTCATTTATAAAACAAATGGAATCCTTTTATTTGCACTCCAAAGGAATGTTCATAAACATTAACCTTAGTTTTTGGTGTTTTTTATTTGTCCTTTCATTAAAGGATTACACCCATAAGAAAATACTCTTGTTTCAGATATAATTTCGGTTTCTTTCAAAATAATGAATTGTGACTGACTTTTCCTCATTTGAGAATTGGGCTTGGCAAGTAGAACTATTTAAAAAAATGGAAAAGAACCTTTTTTTCCAGCTCATTTCTACATCTGGATCTCAGGGTGTTTTGCATGATGATATTCACTCATCTATTTCCTTCCTTCAGTCTTATCTGGAAAAGGATCATACCAGCAAAAAATACCCCTTCAAGGTCTGTGCATGAGATTTCCCTTCTTCTCTACCAATCTGGTACTTGAGATATACTTCCAAAGGTTATGATGCTTGAGATGCTGCTATCACAGCATTGGAAATCATAGTTGTTGGGTGGGAGAGTATGCAAAGACTCTGGACTGACTAAAAATGAAGGAAATCGAGCTTATATTGCACTAAATTGGGTAATTACAAATAACACCAATGTTATATGTTACACAATCTCATCCCGGTCTAGCATACACATTCCTTTTTGCAAATGACCCATCGTCAGCATTCTTTGGTGATTAATTGCTTAATATTTGTCTCATCATTCATTTTCATTTCATTTCATGTTCACACAGACCCTAAGAGTAAGCTTGATCTGTTTGAGATGCAGTTAGCTTGTCACTGGTGACTTGCATCAGACCAGTTAGGATTTGTTAGCTGTTCAAAAGCTAGCTGGTATTTCAATATAGATCAGGCTACTAAAGTTATAATGCTTTCGAACTCTCCTTTGATAGCAATAAAATGAGAGTGAGAAGCCTGAAAGCAAGTGGTTGTCTTGAATTTGTCCCCCATCCCTCTCAATTCTTGTGCCCTTACTGTGGTTTCTAATCCTTTTTCTTCCTTTGTACCATTGCATGATATAATGATGCCCAGAGTAGTAATCTTTCCAGATTGTTGATCCCTAATGAAAAAGATAAATGCACCAACAGGAATACTCATAAGACAAGAGAAAGGGCAGGAAGAAATGTCTGTTCCTGGAAGACCTGTTCCACATAAAACTCCCACAAGTTATCTTTTGCTTATAGTATTGGATAGTACACAAGCATCCCCGATATATCAGTAACATGTGTACAGTGCAATGATATCTCTTACAGCTCATGGTTACCAGTTCCTGAACTAAAACGTAGTCCTTTATTTCACTCTAAAACCATTTAAACATATTTGTGCAGAAACCCCCTGTGCAGAATCAGATTGCTCAACTAAATTGGATGTGATGACTGAAATCTGGTACTGGAAATATAGGAGAAAACCTGTCGTAGATCTTCTCCAGCACAATGTGTATTCCTTCCTCTTTCTAGTATATGTCAAATTTCCCTGTGTATTAAGGCATCTCTGACAGGCTTAGAAATCTTGTTACCGGATATTTATCTCTCTCAGGCCAGGGACCTCTTCCTTTGCCTCATTTCTATTGGCCTTTTCTTCTCAAAGTAGAGTACATTGACTGACACAGTGACAACATTCCAATAAACTAAAATCTGCCCAGTAAATCAGGGGCTTAACGACTGCTACACATCTGCACTGCGGAGTGGTAGTCTTCCTCCCATAGTGTTGAATATCTAGATAATGTGACATATTTCTCACTGTTTTGTGTTGCCCAAGCAACATAGCAACCATGGCAGTGTTGCCATTGCATGTGCTTTGAAGCATAATTGTCTTCCTAATGTGCCTGCAAGGCAGACCATTCTTGTTCCATACCATCTGTGGGATGGCTACAGAATGCTGTGTAGCCAAAAGCCATTGTTAATAGCACTTCTCTATACAGAATTTCCTAAGATGTACAGTCTGAGGCAACATGAAAAAGATAACAAAAAGGAGCCATGTGTAGAGTTTTGTAAATATGCCTGGCTATATTATAAATTTGTACTGGTATTTTTCTGTATATTTGCAATATTTGGGTTAGAATTAATAAATGGGCTTTTATTTGGATTTTATGTTGACTACCTTTACTCTGAGTATCAAAGCTCTTATAGGATTATATTTACAACTAAGCATTACTTAGCTCATGTTTTCAGACTTCCTGCACAATATTCTGATTTTGTATAAATGAAAGAGGTCTAGTTTCTATCCCTGGTTTGCCTTTCATTGACTGCTTCTTACTCTCTCAACCATTGTGCTCTTCTGTACAGTAACTTGACCAATTCTTTGATTTCCCCTGTGAATAGTCTGCAAGACCTCTATTAGAAAGGTTAGATCTCTTTCTTTTGTTTCATAGAAGAAGCTCAAGGCTCAAGACTTTTTTTTTTTTTTTAAGCTATGCTTCAAGCTAAACAGGTCATGAATAAGAATGAACGGGAGAGCATTGGGGCATCTGTCATGATGCTCTGTCATCCATCAAGAAATTGCCAATTCTTTAATGCAGTGTTTTTCAATCACAGCAATGTTAAGATGTATGGACTTCAGTTCCCTAGCCTGGAAAGGGACAAGTCGCCCCAGCACAATTCAACAAATGCAAAAGTTAAGTTAATTTCGACGGAACTGAGGCCAGTAATAAATTCAGTCCAGAAATACAAGAGTTACAATAATTTCGACGAAAATGTGGTCACCAATATAAAACGCACACACATGCACACACAGCCAGTATGCTTCCATTCTGGGAGCGGAAAGTTGAGGTTGAACAAAACTTTCATGTTTTATGCTGTTCAGATCTTAACAGGCATAAAGTTATTTCTGAATCGATTAAATGCAGAAACATATTTAAAGAGCAAGGAACCTGGTTTCAGACTCTTAAATAGAGAGAGATGAGAGAAGACCGTGATATTTTTAGGCTTTTCAAAACAACAACCTGGTTTCAGAATGTATGTCTAGCTATATAGGTATATGTAGCTTAGGGAAGCGATGGAACCATTCTTACCACACTGATTAACTGGCTATAAGCGGAGTAAGCAAGCATTAAAATCTGACATTTTGGATGGAACAGTAACTTTTAATTTTCTTTTGACTATTTTAAAGCGTAATGTTCCCGTCCAGCATCTTTGGGTTGAAATTTTGTCTTGTCTCCTTCCCAATAAAAAACAGCAGTTTTATCAGAGTTTCCCTTTCACATCCTTGTTTGCCCATCTTCCTCACATGTCTGATAGGACTTTTACTTCAAATATATTTCATATCTAGATTTATCCTTTATTTTGCCACTCCAGACTGAATTAGATATACCACAAAAGGCCCTGAGTTTGTAAGAGCCTTGTAGTTCAAATAGATTCAGATTAAAACCTTGCAAAATGGAATTATTGTTACTTGGTGATGGATCTGGTTCTATTTCATCTCTGATCTTAGCTAATTTTCTGAATTTTTTTGCTGGAGATGAAATTTGGTCTCCTGGCATCAGTTTTAGCATTTCGGTTGAAATTGTTTTTGCTCACTGACTTTGGCATTCGAATTTTTGGCATTCAAATTTTTCGAACTTTCGTTGCTGGAGATGAAATATGGCAGTGGTGATGAACCTATGGCACAGGTGCCAGAGGCGGCATTCTGTGAGCACGCGCTCCATCATCCCAGTCCTAGGCCTTCAGCTGGGTTTTATAAAATCTTTTCACTTTAGGACTCTGCCGCCGTGTGCAAGGTTCAATCAATTTCAACTTCTCGCGGGGAAAAAAAGATCTTGCAAAGTTGGAATTGATTGATTGAACTTTTTACTCCCTCCCAGTCTGCCATTACCACCACAGCCACGCCCAGCCAATGGGCCACACCCACCCAAATGGACACACCCAGCCAATGGGCCACACCCACCGGCACTCGATAATGCATAAGTGGGTTTTGGGTTGCAGTTTGGGCACTCAGTCTCTAAAAGGTTTGCCATCACTTAAATATGGTCTATTTTCTAAAAAGCAACCAACACCATTTTAAGCATGAAATTTAGCCACAAATCTTCTTCCAGCATCTGTTTAGCATTTGAGTTGGAAAAAATGTTGGCCACCAAGCCTCTGGCATTCTGGACCTTGGCAACACGAATATCCTGAATTTTCATCACTGGAGACGAAATATGGCCGATTTTTAGAAAAAGCAACCAATTTTTAAGCATGAAATTCAGCACTGAAACATGACACGGGATCCATTTTAGCATTTTGGTTGAAAAAAAATTTGGCCTCCAGGCCTGCCGCGTCCCAGACATTGGCAACACGGATTTTCTGTATTTTCATTGTTGGAGACGAAATATGGTTGATTTTATAAAAAGTAACCAACACCATTTTTAAGCATGAAATTTAACCATTAATCTGGTCCCAGCATCCATTCCAGCATTTGGGTTGAAAAGAATTTTGGCCTCACGGCCTTCTGTGTCGCTAATTCCAGTATTACCAATTTTCCACATTTTCATTGCTGGGGACCAAATATACAGTGAGGGAAAAAATTATTTGAACCTCTGTACGTTTGCCCACTGACAAAGAAATGATCAGTCTATAATTGTAATGGTAGGTTTATTTTAACAGTGAGAGGCAGGATAAGAACAAAAAGAATCCAGAAAAATGCATTTCAAAAAAGTTATAAATTGATTTGTAGGGCTCCCATATCCCTGACCTTGGCCACACAATTTTTAAGCATGAAATTTAACCACGAATCTGATCCTGGTATCCGTTTCAGCATTTGGATTGAAAGAAATTTTGGGCTCCCAACCTCCCATGTGACTAATTCTGCCATCACCAATTTTTCAAAATTTCGTTGCTGAGGGCCAAATAGTCGATTTTTTTTAAAAAAGGCTACCAATGTTCCATTTTTAAGCATGGTATTTAATGACAAATCTTGTCCCAGCATACGTTTTGAAAAAAATTTTGGCCTTCAGGTCTCCCGCATCCCTTACATTGGCAACACGAATTTTCTGAATTTTCATCGGTGGAGACAAAATATGGTTGATTTTTTAAAAAGCAACCAACAACATTCAAATTCAACCCTGAAACTTGACATCTGCTTTAACATTTCAGTTGAACAAATCTTTAGCCTCCTCACCTCCCATGTCTTTAACCTTGGTAAAATGAATTTTCGTTGCTGGGGACTAAATATAATCGATTTTTTTAAACAAGGTTACCAATACCATTTTTTTAGCAGAAATTTAATGATGAATCTAGTATGGGTATCTCTTTTAGTATTTCAGTTGAAAAATTTTGGCCTCCTGGCCTCCCACATCTCTGACCTTGGCAACCTAAATTTTCTGAATTGTCACTGGGGAACAAATATAATCAATTTTTAAATCTGGTCCCGGCATCCATTTTAGCATTTCGGTTGAAAAATGTTTTAGCCTCTCAGTCTCCCATGTGACTGACCTTGGCAACACAAATTATCCGAATTTTTTGTCACTGGAGACAAAATATGTTCAAATTTTTAGGTAACAAAATCACTATATGATGATTCAGGACCTTTTTGATCCAAGTGACTAACAGAACTGAACAAATGACACTGGAATTTTGGAAAAAAAACTGCAGCCGTTAGTATTTTATCTATTCTTGACATAAGCTATCTGCTTGGATCTGATCAAAGTAGAATAATAGGACAGCACTCAGTGAAATTGTGCAATTATCATTTCCCCCCTCCTCTGAAAAGCTTTACAGTACTTGCCATTTCAATCAAAATAAATTCAAGCAGTTCCAGTGCATTAATTCAGCTCTCCTTCAAATGTGTTGTCTTTTATCGTCACCAATAAGTGCTGAAATTATTTCTGCTTCTCTCAACAAAATTACAGCCTTCAGGAAGTGCTATAGTGAGTTTTTGGGACCTACTGACGAAGACTTGATATATTTCCATGATGACTTTTTTCTTGTTAAACTATCAAAACTCAAAAAACCAAGTCCACATCAGTATTTCTCATTAGCATAAAATGACAACTCTGTAAAATGTTTGTGGAAAGATCTGAAGCCTGGAGTCATTACAAACAGAATGGAGGAGATGGATCTTCTGAATTTAGGAACATTATTCTTCCCCCTCAAAAGAGCAGCATCTTTGGCTGTTTCCTAGTCAGCACAAATATTCCTCTTATTGTGTGCAAGATGCTAAGTTGTATGGTACACAATTATATTGGTGGCTTAAGTTCTTTTGCCTTTCTTAAAAGAAAACCTACAGTAGTAGTGCTCCCATCTTGATGTACTACTTAAAAATCAATATTAATGCTCAGCCTCTGACCCAATGAGAGGGCTACTGAGAGGGCTTTGTTTCATGTTTTTTTCTGAATACTTTTAAAGCCCTAGGAAAAATCCTTAAATTTCATACCCTCATAAGCTGCTCGGTGCTTATAGTCCATCAAGATACAACTTTTCTTCATCCCCACAACTGCCTTTCTGCAGTTATTTTCCACCTGAGAGTTTTAATTGAAGCACTTAAGTTGTGCTGCTCCTGAATGCTGCTTCTTTTGTCCTTCCCTGCAACCCTTTTATTCAGCAATGCATTTGTGAAAGACATTATTCCATCTTTTTCCTAAAAACTGGTGCACAAATCTTATCTCTCTCACACACAATGGGATTCAAGCAGGAAGGCAGGCTGAATCAGGAAAGATCTGCTTAACGTGTTTAGATTTGCCCAGAACAAGCAGTCTGCACAAGAAAAATACGAAGCGGTAAAGAGGATATGGGAGAAAACTGGAGATTTAGTGTCATATACATTAATTGATAACATGAAATGTTAAAAAAGATATGGAGGAAAATGGAGTGAACCACAAAGATTAGATGTTAAGGTACCTTATATATCTATGTTGTTATAGGTAACATGCCTGGAATTAAAAGGAAAGCAAGATAAATAGCAAGAATAGCTTCTTATTTCTAAGCATAATTAAACAATATGACAAGGCATGGAATGTTCAAGGATGTAATATTTTTGAGGTTTCCAAACATCTCCCTCTAGTTTTTATAGAAGAAATGTATTTTCCTGATTTCATTTTAAAAATCAGAATTAGATAAAAGGAAGAATGTACAGAGCTTGGTGTGTATTTCAGTGAAGATGATTTATTTCACATATG